CTTACCAAGTCAGCTCACTTCTTACCAGTAAAGGCTACAGATTCGGCCAAGGATTATGCCAAGTTGTATATCAAAGAAATTATCCGATTGCATGGGACTCCCTTGTCCATTATCTCAGATCGTGGTGCGCAGTTCACAGCAAACTTTTGGAAATCCTTTCAGAAGGGATTGGGCACAAGGGTGAACCTCAGCACCGCTTTTCACCCTCAGACAGATGGAAAGGCGGAACGCACCATTCAGACTCTGGAGGATATGTTAAGGGCGTGTGTTATTGATTTTAAAGGTAGTTGGGACGATCATCTACCTCTCATTGAGTTTGCTTACAATAACAGCTATCACTCCAGTATCAAGATGGCACCGTACGAAGCTTTGTATGGGCGAAGGTGCAGATCACCAATTGGTTGGTTCGAAGTCAGAGAAANGTTGGTTCGAAGTCAGAGAAACGGAGTTGTTAGGACCCGATTTGGTCTATCAGGCTATGGAGAAAGTCAACTTAATACAAAGGCATTTGAAGACGGCTCAAAGTCGCCAAAAGTCCTATTCGGACGTGCGGCGTAGGGACTTAGAATTCCAAGTTGATGATTGGGTGTTTTTGAAAGTATCGCCCATGAAAGGCGTTATGAGATTTGGGAAGAAGGGGAAACTTAGTCCCCGCTATATTGGTCCATATAGAATCCTGCGAAGGATCGGACAGGTGGCTTATGAGTTGGAATTGCCACAAGAACTAGTTGCCGTACACCCAGTGTTCCATGTGTCCATGTTGAAGAAATTCATGGGAGACCCGTCACTTGTGGTTCCTACAGAGATTATAGGGGTTAAAGACAGCCTATCTTATGAAGAAATTCCAGTAGCTATTCTTGATCGTCAAATTCGCAAGCTCAGAACTAAGGAAATTGCTTCAGTAAAAGCTCTTTGGAGGAATCAAAAGATTGAAGAGGATACATGGGAAGCCGAGGAGGACATGAAGTTCAGATATCCCCATCTCTTTGAAGGGCAGAAGGAAAATGTGGAAGGTAATTGACCTTTCCATTCAGTTCTCATATTATAATCTCCATGTTCTTCAGTATTTACTCAGCTTAGTATTTAGTGATCACGTGCTCATTCAGTTGGATACACATGTATTCATGATATTTCAATATTCGCATATCATCATCACACCCGTTTAATGTCCATAGATAGTCATAGTTGCAACCAGGACCATCATTCGAGGACGAATGATCCCAAGGGGGAGATAATGTAACACCCCGTAAATTCGGCTTAGGTGTGAATGTGGTAAATGAGTGGTAATGTTATATTTTGAACATGTGAAGTCCCAACGGGATGATTGTGGGTAAAATAGTTGTTTCAAAAATCAAAATGGAAAGAGAGGTGCATAAGATTTGACAAAAATCGACTAAGTTTCAGAAGGTCTGTATTCCATCAAGTTTTAGTGAAAATGTGTAAAGAATTGGGGAAAAAGCAAAGCATGAAAGTTGTAGGCCATTGAAATAGCTTTCAAACGATATATTATGGAGCCCGAACGGATCTCTGTGCAAAACGTTATGTGCGTTTTTCAGAACAGTACGTGTATGCGCGAACACTCGCGCGAACAAGCCTCCAGGTGCGCGAACTCGCGCGTGGGAGGCAGTGTTACTGCCGTTGAGCGCAAACTCTAGCGCGAACAAGCCTCCAAGTGCGCGAACTCGCGCGTGGGGGGTCGTTTTAAAGCTATATTTCGTCCCCCACAGCCCCAAAACATAAAAACTTGCTCTAGAAAGGGGAACTCTTAAAAACCTAACTCCTTAAGGGTCCTTCCACCACCCAAGGTAAGTTCTAATGGTGATTCTAAGTTAATTTCACTTTTCCAACATCTTATTAACATGGGTAAACCCTCCATATCATTAGATATTCGATTGGGACATCATTGTTGAGAGAAGGAAGCCTAGAACTCGAAAATCAAGGGTTTGAACTTCGAAAAGGTAATGTCTTCACCCTCTAATTGATTCTAGCATTGGTTTAATGATTATAAATCCTAGTTCACGAGACATGAGTTGTTGGGGTTGATAGAAAAGCATGAACGATTATAGGGTTGGGGTGTTGAGTGTTGATTATTGGTTAAGAGTGTTGTTTGCCTTATGGGTGATGCAGAATAATGTTGGTGTAATCATTTGAGACTTTAGAATTTATCTAGGAACAAGAGAATGGGTTGTTGGGTGTAGAGACACCATTAATAAGGACTATGAAACTTTATTTTTACCAAGTGTTTGACAAAATGCTTAAGTGACCAAAACATGAGCATTATAGCTAATGTGGAATCCCTTTGACTTGTATTGCTATAGATTGAAGTTGAAAGGATTGACAAACGTTGTATTACGCTCAAGAGCAGGAAGTTAAGGTATGTAAGGCTAACTCTTTACGTTTGGGAATGTCTATGATTCTCCCTACGTCCCATTCATTATGATCATTACCAGTCTCCTCAGAAAGGAACTATGCCTTAGTCCCTGATCAGTAGTAGGACTTCTATTCTCTAGATGGCATAGTCTCATAATCATTCGACATTCTATGAGTTTCAGTTATGATAAATCAACTTGTTATGAATACTCATCTCAGTCTAATCCTATTCACTATTTCAGTATCATGTAACCCAATATGGCTCATTATTTCAGTATCATGTATTGTAATATGATTCTCAGTTCCTGATTTTATATTCTTGAATGTTGAACACCTGTATTTGGGCCTGAGGCCGCAATTTATGATTTCTGCATCTTTGGGCCTGAGGCCGCAGTTATGTATACGTATACTTGGGCCCGAGGCCGCAGTTGTGCA